GAGGATATTTTTTCGTGATAACATTTTTGGCTGCCCAGTCATAGCTGAAGATGTTTAACCATTCCTCTCTTAATATAATCTGTATGTTCTGGTTTGTTCCCTTCACTTCTCAGATGCATTTGGCTCTGTACTGCTTTGCCAATGGCCAGCTGTCGACTGCCCTGAAGCTGCTTTATCGCGCTCGTTACCTAATGTTGCTGGTGAGCGGGGAAGACCACCCAGAGATGGCACTGCTAGACGTGAGTCAAGTCTTAACTTAAGCTTTGAGACTAATTTAAGTCTTTAAAAATTTAACCTACCACAGGAAAATGTTTTGGTGTACAGTGCTCTCCTAACAGACTTAATGCCTTTGTTCTTGGCTGTCCTTCCACAGAGTAACATTGGGCTGGTGCTGCACGGAGTGATGGAGTACGATTTATCACTGAGATTCCTGGAGAACGCCTTGACCATCAACACAAAATACCATGGACCCCGGTCCCTCAAAGTGGCCCTAAGGTGGGGAGAGATTCATCATCCATATGCAAATATATAGTAGCTTTAATATTGACTAATATGATGACTTACAGGATGTGTGCCTTGTTATTCTTTTTAGCCATCATTTGGTCGCGAGGGTTTATGAGAGTAAGGCCGAGTTCCGCTCTGCACTACAGCACGAGAAGGAGGGTTACACCATTTACAAGAACCAGGTGGGCCCTGTCGGACTCTACACTGCTGGGAACTGACTTTTCTTTTATCAGTTGTGATGAAGTGACATCTTAAATATATATGGTTCTCTTCTTAGATGGGTGAGGCACATGAGAAAACCAAGGAGAGCTCAGAGTACCTGAAGTATCTCACCCAACAGGCTGTAGCTCTGCAGAGAACCATGAATGAGATCTACAAGAACGGCTCCAACGCCAGCATCATGCCCCTCAAGGTGATTGCTCGGCCGAGACACGTTTTTGTTCTTATGTCTGTTTTATCTCCACCATTTAGTAGTGATGCTATGTTTTTTATTTCCCTCTTGTTTTCCAGTTTACTGCTCCCAGCATGGCTAGCATCCTGGAACAGCTCAACATTATCAACGGCATCATCTTTATACCGCTCAGGTAAAGTGAGAAACCTAATGCCCTGAACACCTGTAGGGACTTAATATGTTCTTGAGACACAACAGAAATTTGACACAATGCACAACCTTGGAATTAATGTAACTGTATTGGATTGGATTTCATTAGATTATATTAAGAAGCTATCCCTCAAAATGGCTTTACAGAAAGGTTCATTATAATTATTTTCTCATTCCCATTTAATTTTAAACCCGATGAAGGTTTTAGCTGCAGTAGGTTTTAGTATCATCCAATACACAGTAAATTGGCCCCTGTAGTGCCTTCACTACCTTCTTCATAACTATGGAACAAGTGGGGAACATGCCGTGCTGGGGCTCTTCAGGACCAGAAGTGGGCACATCTGTGTGGGTTTGATGAGGACTTCATATAAGCCATTTTATAATAGATTTGAGATATGAATGGACAACATCAAATGGTCAAGCTATACCAGAAATATATTATTTTTTTGTGTTTCCCTTTCAGCCAAAAGGATCTGGAGAACCTGAAGGCAGAGGTGCAGAGGCGGCAACAGCTGCAGGAGCTGGGAAAGATTGAGGAGCCCGCTGAGGATAGCCCACTGGAACTAGAAGACAAAATTCCCATTGATTAATGTCTAAAAGCCCTCAACACTGATACTTTCTGCTATGGGGGGAGGAGTGGGTGGGATGGTGATGCGACAGCCATGTCATTGAATCTGTGGACCTGAGAACTGAGCAGTGAAATTAACAAGGGGAGGGATGGGTCATGGCAGTCCAGAGATCAAACTGTATGAACTGTAGGACAAAGGAATACAGAGCAGGGATTTTCTACAAGGTAGGTAGGAAGGGAGGGAGGAGAAAATGCAAACAACACAGAATCAGTGTAACATGCAATCTGGAAAAAAAAAAAATCTCCAGCCCAAGAACCTGGTGATGAAGGTGTTAGCTGCTTAGAAATTACAATGGCATATGAAAGAGTGGTTGCAGCCGGGAGAGGGAGACCAAGGATGACCATGTCATTGTATACCAGAGCCTTATCCACTGTACCATATTCCCCCAATAACACTTCCTCTCAGCTCAGACTTCCCACAGCATTGTTAGCCCAGGACCATATTTGCCCCTGCCATTTGCTAAAGAGCCTTGAAGGACCCCCAGGCATGTAGCCAGCCACGAACCTTCCCCTAAACGGTGCTCTAAATGAAAAAGCACCTACCCTGTCCTAGAACTCAGGGGTACTTTCTACTGTGCACTAAGACCAGAAATATAGTCACAAAATTTGAGATTTTTCAAGTGGGGCTTCAGAATGTAAATTCCCTTCTACTTAGTAGCTTCTTTGAGCCACTTTGCAGCAGTCACCCATCATTCTTACATGTCCCTGATGTTTAATTAATGTAATCGTTCTATCATTTCTACTACTGTGACATCCCAGGTGGGTGCCTGCTGTGTCTTATGGTCCCTGTTTTTCCAAGCAAGCAATACAGAGACGCATTAGTGAGCTTTCAACCGGATTGATTTAATTTGCTTGAATTTTTTTTCTTTTTCTTTTTGTAGTAAATAAAATGGATTTTGTAAAAGTGCACTGGAGAATTATGGAGTATTTTAGGCCTGTTGATCATCAGTTAATTGAAGCCATGTCTGTTTTATAGAAAATGTATAGAAGTGGCAAAAGATGTATAAATCTTTATCGGATTTAGACAGATACTTGATTGATGTTAATGGGGAAAAAAGAGCAGATTTGAAACGTCCACCTTAAGCAGTAGATTTATCTATAAGTATACTAGCTGTATCCAATCTTCTATTTTTACACATGGAGAGAATATGTGCATGTATGTTTGTATGTATGTGTGACAGTGTGTGTGTATCTTTGTGTAGCCCAGAAAGTCTATTGGCCAGGGCTACTGCTGCTTCTGCTGTTGCATAGTTAAAATAGGGGTTGAGCAAACTTTCCAAAAGGCTTTCCAAAAGGCTTTCCAAATGTTTTATTTTTCTACTCATGGTAAACCTGTTGGATGGCTGAAGCCTCTTTTCTTAAAACATTCATGGCCACCAATGTTGGTACTAAAATGAACCTTCTCACCTTGGGACAGGTGCTCAACATTGGCTGTAGTGACTGATTTATTGTTGCTGGGTGTTTTGTTTTCCTTTTTCCATTATTTGCTCATCTTTTCATATGTAAGTGAGCCAGGCGTGTCTGTTCATTGAGCAGTGTTTAGTGCACTTTCTCGTGCTGTTTGGATGATCACTATCCAAAAGTGGACAAAAGAAGGGCTGCCTCAATGTGATGTACCAAAAGACTGATAAAGGTTTGTTTGCGCTTGTATACATGCAATGTACCCCTCCCATGGCAATTTGTTACTTAATTGTTGCCGTGTCTAAATGTATGTGATTAAAGCAATAGAGAGATGGTGCTGGAGCTGATTGTTTTTCAGACATGTTGTTTTTACTTGGCACAACACATGCATGGTGGACTACTTACTGTACTGGCTGAATTACCTTTATAAATAAGTAAGCGGAGTTAAAGAAGAGGTGAGCTCTTCAGACCGAGTGAATCACTTCACAGTGATTTTCCTGATTGTGCTACTAAAACATGTCATAACATCTATAGCCAAGTGTGGTGTATATCGTGCCTATTATCTATGCTTCTGAATGGAGCCATGGTCATAAGAGGCAATAACTTGACAATTTATAAATGTGAAATATGCTTCTTGATTTTGTTTTTGTATTTGTTTCAGTTTCTTTGAGTCAATTGACATCTTTTTGTTTTTCTTGCTCAACAGTTACTAACGGTGTCCATAAGGTGGCACTCTAACATTTGCCTCCTTGTGAATGACACAGTACATTCACCTGAATGATGGGAGATGCTGCAGTGGAAGTGCACAAAACCCCCCAAATGCTGCAGTTGACAGATTTTATTTTTTAGCATCCCTCCAGAAATTAATTCTATGGTCCAAAATGACAAACTGCTACCTTTTGAAATCCCAGCAGAGTACGTCTATTGTTTGGGTATTTTAATAGTTTACGATTTAGAATAAAGTCATGAATGATCAAAACTTTGTCTACAGAGATGCTCTATGTTGATCTTATAACACAGTGCTTCTGTTTAGTTGGAGACACAAATTCACTCAGAGTTCAGTGTTACATTTTTGTTTTCAATAGTTTAGCTGTTAAAGCATCATTAGTGGAAATAAAACAAGAAGAAATGTGGTTTAATAATACAAAGAGAAAAGTGTATTCTTTCACATGATTTGCATATTTTCTCTTTCTGAAATGCAAAGCAAGTGTTGAATATGAATATAAAATTACATACAGATCATTTCATTTTCACGTAGTCTAATATCTACCCCAAAATATATTGCTTTCATTTGTAAGTTGTAAGTAAATTAAAAGTACTAATACATTGCTGTCCTTTCAAAATATTTTGTATTTGTAAAATAAGCAGCATCTTCTTTTGTTATTTTTTGCTGGCAGAAATGGAGCTATTTTTAGCTACTAGCTTCTATAAACAGTGGGATAGTTTAATATATAATCAGGATTTATAGGCTGATCAAATTTTTTATATGTAAATTAGTATTAATTAAATTATAGCTGTCAAATACATGTAGTGGAGTCGAAGTACCATAAAGTGTAAATACTCAAGTTATATACAAGTAGCTGTAAAGTACAGTGCTAGTTACTCTCCCCAAAGCATTGCATTCACCAAAGTGTATATTTTCAGTTTAAAATCCAAATCTATCAAAATTAGAAGTGATCTCATAATGGCAAATATCTGCTTTGATTTGTCTTATTTAAAGTAATGTCTGCAGTTCAAACGGATGCTGAGAAGGAATGTAAGAGTTAATAGCTAAATGAGTATAAAACAGCCAGTAGGGTTTTCTTTTTTCTTTACAGCGATCAAGGGCGTGCGCGCTCCCGTCACACTGTGAACGCGACCTTCGTGCGCGCCCCCGGCAGAAGGCGAATGCAGTAGGCAACGAAAAAACAAGCAGGCAGCGCTGGAGAGACAAGAACGGCACAGTTTGCCTTCACATCACAAGATCATATTTTGGAGCGGAAATTTCACGCCCTGTCGGGTCGTGTTAGCGCTGGAGACGGCTGAGGATATTCACGGGCAGAAACAATAGGGTGAGTTCAAATACTTGAAACTGTGAAGCCGGTCGAAGGAATCTGGCGTTAAGTGGGGAAAATGACGATGTGGCTGTAATTTTTGCACCTCCTTTTTATGTCTCAAAATGGCGGATAGGCCGCTTGGACTGAAGCAGCAGGTACCTTGTCAGCTGAGTTCATCCTTGTGTCCAGATAAACCACCTTATACACTTGCATTAATTTAAGTCGGCAAACGTTAGCTAACCGTCTAAGTTAACTTTGGCGAATCGAGCTTGAAAGCACATTATGAGCATGTAGTTTCCGCTAGAGTGAGTCTACGGGCTAACTTTCTGACTGCATCCCCGGGAAGCTAACTTGGCTAACGTTAACTTTAGCTAACATTGGCTAACGATAACCGGGCATAGATAGCGTTAGGCTACCGGCCGGCATCGTCGTCATGTCGACCAAAATGTCTAGCGACCATAGTCGGGAAAACATGTCAGTGTTGGAGGTAGGGCAAGGCTAACACAGATTACAGCTTCATTTGGGGTCTGTCACAAGTTAGTAAGTTAAGTAATAACCAGTAATTAGCATAGTGTGAAGCAGCGTTAGTGCAGACACTGTTGTAAAAAAAAAAATAAAAGTCGATAACACAGTCAAGTGTGCGTTAGGTCACACGACGTTACCGATGTCATCTACCGTCGTTAGCTCTGTTGCTGTTTTAAAAATTTTATTGTTAGCAACGTGTGCAGATATTGTAAATCGTCGCAATCGCTGCAGCTTCACGTCCCTGCTGTATCCAGTGTAACTAAGCATTTGGAAATGGCGTATGGGGATGTTCGTCTTCTGGTTTGCGGTGTGTATTTATTGTGCATTGCAAATGAACACCAGATCAACACTGTTGCAGTTTTCTAACATGGCATGCTCTTGAGTGTATGCGCTCTACTGTCACCCTAGTTGATGTTCAGCTGAAGCTCTCCTCGTCTGCTTCGTGCGGTTTGTTGGCTCAGTGTTAGAAAATCAGGGTGGAGCACATCGAAGGCGATGAGTTTGTAATGGACTCAAGTGTATGCCTTGTTTTCGTTTTTGCACGTTTTCTCTCTCCTTATGTGGATGTATGATTGAGTGATTCGGGTAGGGGATTTGCGGACCCGAGGGCTTACCCTGGAATCAATACAGATCGGTATAGTGACTGTGTGCATTGAATCCAACAAGCGAATCTCCGTCGTTATTTTCAACCACCTTTTGTCGTGACATGGGATATAAAGCATTGGTTAAAGCCAGGATCCTTGGCTGATTTACTATCCCCTGCCACGCCTCTAAGGACCGCCTTGCAGCTGATCTCCTGGAATATGTTTATTTTTGAAAACGGTGTTTAGCTTCAGAAATTCACATTTACTTCGTGCCCTCCTCTCAGGTAAGAGTATTTGTGTGGTTTAGTCTCTGACTGATGACATTTTGAAGAGGAATGTGATTACTATCACTCAGCTTGTAGTTATTTTTACAGCTATTATCATAGCAGGTGTTGCAGGGGCTTTTGTTAATTGAGCAATATGTATGTGCACAATAATATGTGCTGACATAACAACCACACAAATCGCAGATGAGGAATATCTTTCCACATGTGTTGGGTCAAATTGGAGTGATTCTTAGGTTTCCTCTCAGTTTAGGATGGTTTTTATGCATTAAAACCCAATTATCCTATTTTCTTAGCACTGATATATTACTTAACTTGGATGTTATTGTAAAAGACAGAAATGCTTTATTTCTCTAACAGTAACTGCGGGAGCCAGTTAGTAGATGTGGTCAGCTGGTTTTAGTTGAAAGCTTTCTTAGTCAGTCCCGGGTCTTCAGAAGTTGATTTGAATAAGTGCATCCCAGCAGCCAGGCTCTATTCACTGCCGTCAGTAGTGGAAACACAGCAACACCAATTGTGCAAGCTTCTGCCACAGTGCTGCTCTGCTGGTACTTGTTGCCAGTTCAACAACAGGAGAACAAAGCGAAGGACAGTCCCATACCTTGTAGAGCGTTGCTCTCTAATGTCATTAGGGTCTTTCTGTAAATGCAAAATGTACAGTTTTGCAGAGGGAGCCGCCTATTTTGTCTCAACTGACAATGAGTGACAGGCTGTTTGTCTTTGTGATTGTGGGAGGTTGAAGGACAGATAGAAACCCATATTATTACCCCCCTTCCTTGAGTTGACGGTATCACTGAGGTTCACCTTGCAGACAGGCTGCCCAACCAGCTAGCTGAGTGTTCATACTGACCTGGTGCCAGCAGCAACTGCTTGGCAACCTACAAATGACCGCTTTCACACTCTGTTTGGACAGCTACTTTTTGTCAATTGTATGGAAACATCTGACAATGTTGGCATGAAACTGACTCTCCAATCAAAAAGCTCTAGAGGCTGTTGAATATAATTTTAGCAACCAGTTATGGTAGTTGGAAAGTTGATTTGAACACACTTCATACTTGCCAGTTTGGCAACAGCAACTGACACATTCAGCAAACAGCTCCAGTCTAAATTTAGAGCTGTAATGATTTCAACTGGTAACCTGTTGGCATGATGTGAATATGCTGAAGAGAAAAAAATATGACAGAGTTGAACAAGCAACATTTAATTGAAACCTGTATCAGTTAAGGAGGCTAACTAGTGTGTTCCCACCTGTGTTTGTGCATGTTTGCCTCGCCATGTGATTGATATGTTTTGCCTGCAAAGTCTTGTGGTCCTGTGTGGGTGCCTGGGTGGGCTTCCTCAGTCGTCTCTGAGCTTCCATCAGATAACACAACTGTTAGGATGATGGCCTGACCATTTGATTGGCAACACACCCTTGTCAGAATGAAAGATGCACCAGCTCACGTAACTGATGTGGCCGCCTTGTGGGTCGTAACGGCTGCAGATTGAAAACTGAGCCAGATGTTCGCTCGGTTTCATCATCCGTTAAGGGTTTTTCGGTTCAGCTGTATATCCCCTTACCAGCTTAGCAACATGGACTGAAAGAGTTTCAGAGTGGTGAGTTATTAATCTGTAAAAAAAGTATCTTTCATCCATAAAGTTTTAACTGAGCTCTGTCTCTACATCACAGTAACAACTTTATGTCCATTGACTGTTTGGAGGGTAGCTAGTGTTTGGAAGGGAGAGGAGAGGTGTGCTGCAGCTCAGTGTTTTTCCACCAGTGTTTTTGAGGGCGTATCGGACTAGCCGCTTGGCGAGTGTTATGACGCTTGTTTTGCTTTACAGGGATGAAAGGTAAGCGGCTGGACTACAAACGAGCTGTTTTCAAGCAGTGGGCAGTGTTTTCTGTGAGAGATGGGAACTCCCTTTGGGCTGGATTTCGGGCTTGCAAACCTTACATGCTCAAAGGTACAAACAGGAAAAGAGGGGAAAAAGCATAATACCACGTCTTTAAACGATGAATCTGTGAATCGATGAAATAATCTGTAGAAGCTTTGAGTACTAAAATCATCATCAAATTATCTGTTTTTTTGTAAGAATCTGGACAATTGGTGATGAACAGGCCTCCACACAGGCTGACAGAGCTGCATCGCATTACCTACTTAATTGCTTGGTATAATAAATTAGCCATGTATACCCAGCTGATTCAGCACAGGGTTGCACTGGTAGCATGTAAATTACTATGTGTGTAGCTGCTGATGGAGAAATACTGCACCAGAAAATTATCTTAATATACATTTTAATAGTGGTGTTGCCACTGCTGAAACCAAAGTTAAGTTACTGTCGAAGCAAAATCTCAATGCACATTTTAATACAACTAATTATCTTCTCTCGTCTCCTTGTTTTAACTTAAATAGCTAAATGTGTCGTCCAAGCAGTGTTCACATGACATGACTGCTTTGTTTTTGTTTCAGTTAGGCAGTTTGTGACATGTTAACAAAGCCAAATTATAAAACCACCAAAGAAATGGAAAACTGCAGTTTTTATGAAACAGTTGTTCTTTGTGTTTGTCTACTAAAAGTAGTCACTACTAAAAGTCCGGAGAAGTGCTGAAACTTCCGTGTGATAGTTTTACATCCTCTTCAATGACAGAAATGACAGAAAGATGCAGTGTTTTTATTTTTAAACTACCTCACAATTGTTATCAGAAATAAAGGAACCGCAGATGGCAAAATCTGAAGCAACTCCAGTGCACACAAATAGCTATTTCCTTGCACTAATTCAGAATGATGTCAGCCACTGCAAGGACACTTCTGAATTAACCTCGAGTGTTTGTGTGCTTTGTCAACTTGCAGAGAACACCTTGATGTCCACATATTATAAACCGTGTCCTGAAATACATTTGCCCTTTGCTGTCACTTTCATGCATATGTTATTTGTAAAGGGCAGTCAAGGATGACAATCTTAACATTCCCAGAACACAAAGGTTAAGTCATCAACAGGAAATGAAGGCGCTCCAGATTCCAGCAGTTTGAGATGTTTGCTTTTGAAAGACGATGGTGACACAATGACGCTAGCAGAAAACAGAGGTGACCGCGAGGTGATAACTGTCAGCATTGAAGTGATGGTATGTTTTCACACCAGCAGTTAGACTCAACTTAGACTCTGGAGTTTTTATTTTCCTCATCTTGCTCTACATACCACACAGGGGCGTGTTCCTTTTGTTCAGACATTTGAAGTGTTGATTATCAAAAAATGTCATACACATACCACATATGTCATACTTGGCAGCTGGAGTAATGCAAGGTTGTGATATTGCAATGTTGTGATATTGCAATGTTGTCTGATTTGGTACCTTTTGACCAGATGCCTTATTTGTTTGCATATTTGCAGTCCTCAAAAAAAATAGTCAGCTTCTATATTATATATTCTAGATGTGTACTGACAGTAAATTAGTCTGGTCTCACACTGCTTCAGTAGCTAACAGCTTTTCTGTCACATCCTCTTTGAAAGATTTGCTGACACATTACTCTGTTTTCTAAAATGCCTTTCTTTTTGTAGTTACTTGGTTAGATTTCGGTGTTTGGGTTTGACTGAAATCTTGTAGTTTAATGGTCCACGTCTTTAAAATACGCAAGTCCAACCCATGTGCTTGACTTTAAACAGAATTTGTGCCCAGACAGTGACACAGTGGGTGTGGTTCATTACAGTTTTGACTTGGCGCTTGGCTGTTGCATTTTCAAACAAAATATTAAGAACAGATAACCTGCTAGGACTCATCAGGAAATTAAACAATGTCTCTCAAAGTGCCATTACTGAAAGGGGCCCTTTTTATTGTACAGTTCCTACTGCTACACAAAAACAAGAGATTCAAAACAACTATTAACCATCAGTGGGCAGATTTATAGATACTCCGCTGCTGTGGCCCATTCAAGCAAGACACGACCACATTTTGTGCTGAGCCAATTATCCTGATTGTGCAAACATTTTGCTCAATACTGAAGCCACAAATGACATTTGCATAGAGGAGAGTCTAACACATTAATGGATACATGCAGCGATGACAGCTGCCAGCAGCACAGAGGGAAGTATCAATATATAGTAGATGATCTCATTTCACACACAGCAGTTGTACAAATTGAGGTAGAACGTGCATGCCTTTTCTTTTAATTGACATTTTATATGTGCAGTTATAGTAAGAGCCATTTTTAGCTTCAGTGCCATTGTTTTTTTGTGGTGTCGTACTGTTGTGACCCTGAGCCACGGCAGAGTCGTTGGTCAACAGCCAGAAACGCCCTGCGTGCCGTAATCCACCCACAGTCGGAGGTAAGCAGACATTTGGACTGCGGTCAGGTGGTGACATCGGGATCCAGAGGTTAGCGGTTGGCTAAGATAGGTGGCTTTCTGTTGAACAGTCAAAGTGTCTAGTATGCAAATAAGTAAATAAATTCGGAAGTGTGGTATCTGTGTGCCAGGTAGGTCAATCTTGTATCCGCAGGCTTCATGTGTTGAATACATCATGTAGTGGGTCCCTAAGCTGCTTTACTTTTTTCTGCAAACAAAAGCAAGAGTGAAAAGAAGGAATCTTCCGTTTATGGTAATGTCACTCCTGCACCATCAGCTAAAATGAGGAATGTGTGAATTTTCCATTGCAGTTTCCTGGAGTGTTTCCAGGCCTCATTCTTTTCCTCCAGTGCTCCGTACCCATGCAGCAAATCTCATGCCTAACACACATCTCCTGTGCATGTGTCTGGATGTCTGTGCCTTTTTAGTTTTGTCGCTTTGTTGCAGGTCTCTAGAAGGAGGTAAATTGACTTTGGCTGTACCTTGAGTTTAGTTGTCTGGCAGAGATTTACTCAGGCTGGTCCCAGTAGACTAAGAGGCTTATTGTAGCTCACAGTTAGTATTCTAGTGGCTACCTGCTTTAGAGAAGTGCTCTTTATGAGTTTGGTGCAGAGTAAAAATAGACTTTATCACAGTATTGTTAGCTGCATTTAAGGTGCTTTATTTGGTTCAGTTAAAATGAATCCTGATGCGTTTGCCCCATTAGTACATTTGGGCAGGTGTGAGACATGTCAGTCGAACTCCGGTGTGGACCAACCAACCGCACAAGACCCTTTTTAGAGGAAATGGTCTCGGTATGGTCACCAATAAACTCTATAGTGGTTCGTTTTGTAGTTGGGACATGATCCAATCTTGATCTAACGCATCTACCATTAACTTGTCATGCTTACAATGCTCAATAACATTAGCTCTCTTGCTCTGCTCAGTCGTCTTACAGCAGCACATCTTTGCAAAGTTTAAAGCAGCATAGTATTTTCAAGATGTTTCCTCGAAGTGCGTTTGGTATTTTTCTAGTATATTACCCAGATAATACAAGGTTATGAGTAAATGCTGCATGTTAAATTACATAATGTTTCTCTTCACAGAAATATGCACTGGTCCAGAAACCAGGACTTCTTGCTGTATTTACCTTCTTGCTGACACCTCTGACCAATAATAAGAGTGAATGTTCTCACATGGTTTGTAGTGATGTATTTTGGTTCGCTTGAATTTTTGTGTAAAAAGACCAAATCAAGGGGGAAAGCTCCAAGTTTACAAACTCAGCAGCTGATTTGGACCAGGCGATAGGTGTAAAAATACGCCCTTATTGTTCCTCATTATCAGCACTCCACTTGTCAATAAATTCATTTTCACACTAAGCCTAATAAATGTCTTGCTGACACAAACGTTCATAGTGATTATATTGTGCTGTCAGTCAGGCCAGGCAGCTCTTGAGCAGGCATCGTAATGAGACGATAGGGTCAGGGGAATTTGACATGAGCACAGCCGTTACTCGAGCCCGCTCGGCTGTGTCCTGTTTTTCTTTTCAATTGGCAACCTGGGAGGAGAAGTACGTTGCTCCAAGAATGTGGGTCAACTCTTGTATGTTCACGGAGAAAGGAATTTGCAGCAAGACCTCTCAGACCAGACTGGTGACATGACAGATTATGAGTGCACCAAGGAGCTGAAAAGCAAATGGAAAAAGTGTTTTATGGTTAAGGTGTTTTTTATGAAATGTCTGATACATGGGTTTATGCTGTCAAAGCTTTGCTTTAGAAAATAAAGTAAATAGTGTAAATATTTTGTGCTGCTGTTTTTTTTTCCCCCCATTGTTGACAGATTCTTCAGCCATTTTGTCTGCGTATAAACTGGAGCAGACATTGATGCAGTACTCCTTTGGCCTATAAACATTTTCATCTCCACCCTCTCCATGTTATCTGTCATGCATACCTAATGCATACCCCCCCCTTCTCTCCAGATGCAGTGTAGACTTGGCTGGTGACTGGTCTGCAGGCTCTCCACTTCTCTTGTCCCTGGAGTCAGCCAGTTGGGGGGCAGATTCCTGCGATCCCCTTCTCTCAGTCCTGAGTCTTTTTTGTCTGGACAAAACCAACCGCCCGCCACTGGAGTACACAGCTCGTCCTCGCCCGTGTTGCTTGGATCAGCACAGCTCATCTCCTGACTGAGGAGAGCGCAGCAGCTGCACAAGATTCGCCTTCTACCTTCAACTGATCCCTCCCGACCCCGCCCACACTGCCCCGTCATCATGGTGCTGTCACAACGGCAACGAGATGAACTGTAAGTCGCAACCCGCCTGTCATGTGGGAGAGAGATGAATATGTGGGATTAAAATGCATGCAATGCTTTTTATACTGCGGTTGGTGCACGTCTGTTGCTGTTGCATTGTGTGGCGAGACGTTTTCATTCCACTTTCATACACTCACACAGCTGCCCAATACAACCACATTCATCTGATGTTGCTGTGCAAGGAATGAATGGGAAGGCCTTTTCTTCAAGGGCTGCAGCTAAGAATTCTTTTCAAATCTGTTTTTCTTGATCCGTGTTCTGTCTTCCATGTTGTTCTGACTCTCGTCTAATCAGATGTGAGGGTCAAGTGAGCTAATCTGCGCTGATCTGAATCAGATGCTTCTTGAAGCTGCCCAGTGACACGAGTGCCACTTACAGTATCAAAGAACTTAATGAATGGCTTAACATGGGCCGGTTCCAGTGAGCTCTATTTGTATACCTGTCCAAGCAAAAAGAGACTGCCAAACAACTGAAATAACAACATCTTTTAATTGTCTTTTTTTAATGACTATATACTATTAAGGATGTGTATTAATTGATAGACTCAGTCAGAGACATTTTATAGAGGAGACGCGCCACTCAATCACGTCGTCTGTACATCTCTATGGGAAAGCCCATAACGGCAAAGATGGCGGTTATCCCGCCCATCCCTCTAGAAAGCCAGTCGTCTGCTTTTAACAGCCAAAGCGGGAAACATATTTCAGCCAATCAGCCACTGACTTAAGGGTCTGTTTTACTTTGATTGTGCATGCGTGGTGGTAGTAGTAGAAGTATAACCGGTTGGAAAAATGCTTTTTAAACCCTATTGTGGGGCAGTTGACAAACTTTTTCAGCGATTTTATTAGATTTTACTGCTGATTCTATTCATGTAGTTTTTATGTCCCGGTGACCAGTGAAAGTACAGTTTTACTTGCCTGTTCATAGTTTTCAGTCACATGACATGCGTGGTGACCTGGAAGGCAAAACAACATACCAACATAGTGGCTCACAGTGCGACTCCCCCGTAGAGACGCAGCAAAAGCAGTTAAATTTTATTTGGATCACCTCTCAACTAAAGAAAAAGAAAGATATGGACACAAACTGCAAGTGTTGGGCACTTATGATCCATTTACAGCACCTGCTGCCGTATTTCTGCCGTTAAAAACCGCCAGGTCTGTGCTGCCACTCGACTGTGGTAATGCTTGCGTTTACCTTGTGGGGAATCCCTCACCTAACACAGCCCAGGCTTGTCTCTTCCTCAATTATTGCGTCTGAAAGCACAACAACCATCCAGCATTTTGGCAACGCAAAAAGTATCAAACTTAAAGTAACAGTGTATCACTTGTTTCCTGTTTGCGGGCGGAAGAAAATAATGTCTTTTTTTTTTGCCCTCCAAGGGAGTGTTTTCTTAGAATGTGACGTCACGTGAAAACTGAATAAGGACTTTGATTCAGTTTAAATGTGGACTTTTTTGTCTCCAGGAAGAATCAATGAGTGACTGAAGGTTCCTGAGCTCCCCTGGGGTCTTGCAGCACAAATGCATTGATGCTCCATCTACTCGACCTACCCCTGAAAATGTGTAGTATTCACTGTTTGCTCAATGTGACCTTAAGGAAAGCTTAGAGTTGCGAGCGCTTCCTCTGTGCACGCTGTCAGTACTTGGAGTCATTCCTCAGGGAAGCAATGTGCCCAAGATGTCTGAAATCTGCCTACCAAAGTACAGAACTACAAAGTATATATTGAGCAAGTGGGAAAACTAAGACTGTGATAATGGGGGGAACTGTAATTTGGCCCTGCTGAGTCTGTGGGATTGGTAATTAACCCCTGAGGCGGAGGTTGGAATAAAAAGTTAAGGCAGCTTGATGTGAGATTCAAGGTCATGAGAAGGAGATGAGAGGATCTCACTCTGAGCTTTAGAATCCCCCTCCTCCTTAAGAAGTATGTTTAAAACGACATATTTAAAAAAACAAAACAAAAAAAACACAAAGTTATGATGGAGATATTTGCCTCTAGCTTGAAATGAGACGACGGCCCTGTTGACTGTCACTTTTGCCTTCACATGACAAGGCTCTTAACATTCCTGACTATGTTTCTGTGTTTTTAGATTAACGCTGTGGGAGGGGCTTGTTGGTATGGAGAGATGTATTGGAATGCTAATCTTTCAAGCTTTTTGCTATTCAGAGGAAACTGGGGACCCCCCCCCCCCCCCCCCATTGCCTTTTCTCCTCTGTTGCACAAGTCTCTGGCCCCATAGCTTACAGGAAGCTGGTGTGGGACCATCACACCACTTCAAGCATCTATTGCATTCTTCTCGTTGGAGATGTTGCTCGCTGAGTTGGTGCGTTCATTGAGTTTGACGGCTATAAAGTCCCCCTATGATCAAAACTGGCCTGCTTGGAAACCCAGCAGCCTACTTTTTATCATCCAGTGTAGTAAAGGGGGTTATGGGAACAGTGACCGGTTGACTGTCTGCTATTCACGCAAAGTTTTTGTTGGGCCCCCTCCTTTCTTTGTCTTTGTCACAGCCTCATTTACGGTCAGGCAGCCAACAAGTAGATTTTGTTCCCATTTGATTCAGGCTTCCTCTTCCACATTTTAAGCTGTCAAATCTGCACTAACTCTGTGTGTGCCATCAGAGCCAATGTCTTTGACTTTTAAATTTGAAAAAAAACCCAAGTGAAATCTGAAAACAAGAGAAGGCTTGTTTTTGTCTTCCTAGTCGACATTGACCTGCTCTTTGATTTTGGCCAGAAAGACGTTTTTATTACCTCGGTGTGGAACAACATATTCTAAAAGAGAAATAATCTTTGTCCCTTAAACTAGTGCTATTTTGTCAGCACCGCAGTCAGATGCTGTGATTGCGTAGCATCTTCAAAACAACTTTATTTTTATGAGCATAGCCAATGAAAGGCACATTTGTGTTTTCTTTCCAGGGTCAGGGGACTTGTCCCCTCTGGCGTGTAGTAAAAATAGATACAGAATACAAACTATCTGCTCCCCTGAAAGACCTGGAGGCACCAATGTGCAGATGGGCCTGTTGCTTTTGAACACACTCTTTGCTTTGCAAAGAAAATGCCCTCCACCTTCCCCATGACTTAAGCTACACGATGGTTCATGTGATTTTTGTCCTTTCCATCTGCCCCCTGGCTGTGAATTGTGGTGACATAACAGATTAAATACCAATATTTCTGCTATTCAGAAGACATAAAGTTGACTGAAACAAGCTATAATGAAAGACTGAAGTATAGAAAGCATTCAAAGCTGTGGTTTACACTCGCAATGGACATCTGTTTAATTGACCCTTGGCTAAGCCACGCCCCAAATACGCAAGCTGTCCAATCATAGCGCAGTATAGGACTCTCTCTCTAACTGAGATCCGACACTTTAATGTTAGAGCTCCATGGACTAATATGCAAAAGGAGTCGTTTTCTAGCTTTTTTTGTAACTTTTTCCAAGATATGGTCAAACACTACGGATAACGGCTCTCTATGCAGGCTAACGTTACATATCCATATGGAGTGTTTTGCTTGTCTGATTTTGCTGACATATTCAGATTTTGCGTATTTGTTGAGTTGTCCTTGATTTTTGTGCTTCCACAATGGTTAAGTAAGCTATGTACTTAAATTTCTTTCTTTTGTCTGTTTAACTGCGTTTTTATTGTTGATGTACGATCGAGAGTCTGCAAAGGGTGTTTTATTTAGAAAATCGACCAGATTATCTCTGCCATTCTATGTCTGACTTCCTGCCTGGTTCATCTGCTCTGTGCTGCTTGACATGGCTTCCGTCAAAAATACTGGCAGTGAATATTGAACTTTAGCAAAACTTCAAAAAAAAAAAAAAATTGCAATTAGATTATTTTTTTCCCCAAATCGTTCAGCCCTAATTTGAATTAAAATGACAGGTAATAATAGATTATGACAGAATGTTTACAGCCCCATCTGTCAAAATAACGGACAGCGTCTAACACAGCCTCTGGTGTTGACCTGAAACCATACTGCACACACGCACCTTCTCCATAGTGAAGAATAGTCACTGTTTTAAGTCTTCCTCTTCTTTGGAGCCTGGTTAGATTAAGTTTCCCCCTTTTTTAAGTTTTCTTCTGGCTTAAAGGTTGATCCCCGCTGCAGTGCTGGTTACTAATATGAAAGAAGGCTGCTTTTCCCTTCACAACCTACCTGTTTAACATTGAAATTAACCTACATTATGATAATCACCCCTCTAAGAGGCTGTGAGATGATTGAAAGTTTGGAATCAAGTAAAGGGCAGAAACCTTTTATAGATGAACCAAATTTTTTTTTTTTTTCCTGTCTGAAATTATGTGGTGGATTAATTGTCTGGTTAATCTAGGTAGTGATTGCCTTCAGGCAACATGTTTCATGTCTCAGCCTGGGGCTCCTTCTCATAAATCAGCAACAGAAATAGTAGATTCGTTACAGTTTTCATGGAGATTCAACTGTAACTGCGCAATTATACAGTCCTGCCATCTGATTTTTGTGGAGTGTTTCTGCTAACAAGTTCTTGAAGAAATACTCAGCTTTTTTTAGCTCCCTACAGGCCTGCTTCTTCTTTGCTACTTCCACACAGTGAACCTTTCAGCCTAAGTAGTGGTTTGTACCTGTAAATTGCAGAGCTTTCGTTCATACTAATTGTACAAAAGATTCCATAACATAACATGAAACACATCTGGAAAATATCACACCAGCTGAGTTTAATAATCGCTATGAATTCACACACTTTGCACAGTTAGCTCAGTCTTAAGCTGGAAACAGCTGTTTAGGCCTTTTTTATTTTTATTTTTATTTTTTTTTTAGCGGTACTGCCATGCATGGCTGGGGGCCCTACTGCTTGAATACCTGTACTTGACAGAGATGATAATTTCGTCACTATGACGCACTGGCCTGTTGAACTCTGCTGATTGTACAGTGGGTTTCATCTCATAAGAATCACTGGTACAATCTCTGTAGGCTTTATTAAGCACATTCAGGGCCATCAGACAATCTGGAACCTCCATT